TACTACTACTACTACTACTGCAGTACCAACCCACTACTCCTTCTTACACAAGAACGCACCCGAAACAAAACAAACAATGGCCACAGTGGCAAAAACATGATGCCCGCAAAAACAAGCCCTCCTTTCCTAAGGCAGTTCTAAAGGTTGAGGAATATCATGACATCTAAGCCATCTCAGAACATCGTTCTGGCAGCTTGGCAGCACGCCTTCTGGAACATCACCCAGAACACGTCGACGATCTCTGCCTGGCAATTGTGAGGAACAACACTCGCCCAGCAAGATGAAATGTGCCGGCTGCACAGGGTCCTTCGTCATCTTCTTTCTTGCTCCTTGGTGGCACACGCAAGCTTCTTAACAGCTGCCTGGGTAACAGCTGTACTCGAAAAAACTTAGGTCGTGCAGTAGGCTGTGATAGATCTATATCAAGGACATGCTCCACAACCCGCGGCCCTTTAGGGCTACCTAAACTACACCAAACAAAGTCGCCTTTTCAACCATGCACCTGCCAGCTACGAGGCCTCCGCAAGCATTTTTTGCATCCATGGCGCTTCCTCTCCTTGCGCCGCTCCTTGTCGCCCAGGCTGTGCTTGGATCGCCTCATGACACAGCGATGAAGACGGCGACTCAGAAACCGTCGACATGAGCCGTCGTTTCATTCCGGAAAATTCCGTCCTGATCCGGTGATGTGGCCCTTTCTTAGATGAGCCTCTCGGGAGGGGTGATATGGCCCTTAAAGTACAGAAGCCGCGTGCATTCGGACGGACCCACCGCAGTTTCGTAAAAGGATGCATGGATGCTCGGACAGCTCAGAGATGAACCCGGACCGAGAAGAAGTGCCCGATCGCGCCTTCGTGCTGTCCACACATCTTCGTGGGCCCTACAATGCGACTGGCTTCACATCCCTGGATATCCCGGCGCCAGGCCGTGTGATACGAGCGGCACGTCGAGGGTTCTGGAACCTCACACAAGTCCTGCAAGCAGAGATGCTGGGGCAACAGGAAGGCCTCAACATGCCCCCCTTCCCCCTTCCCAAAACCAAATTCAAGACACTTCAGCTCCTTCCGCAAGTTGCCCAGCTCCAGTCTCAGCACCTACGATTCGACATAAGAGCATTCGGCGATCAGTTCATGGAAGCGGCTTGGAAGGCCTGGAGCATGTCTGGACCTGAGAACATCGGCACTATGCAGCCAACTTCTGGTGAGACTTGGACTTGGCGCTCGGCGCCGCTGGGGAGCTTCGCCACTGGGCGTTACCTCGAAAAGGCATCTTGCTGCTACGAGAAAGGTCCAAAGCAACAGCACTCTGCCCTCCTGCAGCTCCGACAAAAGGTACCTGCACCCCGCTTTCGAGGAGCATTGACATGCCATGCTCCATGCAATTCCTACTTGTACCGAGACATGGCAGCCGCTTTGGCCTCTCCAGTACGGCGTGGCGCGTTTCCAGCTCGTGCTCCCACTCCGCAATGGGACTGTTCCAGGCGCTGACCTCTCAGCAGAAAAGGCACACGTTTTAAAGCGCGCACCCACACACATCCATTTCTTTATAGCAGCCTAGCACCTTTGCACACACACTTTTCGTCAAAACAAATAATCGTGCTGCACTTCGAGCTCCAAGGAATTGACCTTCAAGCTGTCGTGGTAGTAGTACTCACCCTGGTCAGACACATATGGTCCACTCCAGCCTGGCACACAGTCAGAGACTCTTCCACGTAACTCCAGGCATGGCCACGCGGCCACACGGCCTGCAAGGTCGGCCTTGGCAGCCTGCGATCAGGAAAGCCGGCAAGCCTGGGCCTGGGCCTGGGCCCAAAGCCAGGACCCAGCCTCGTGCCTCTCGCGCAGGTGTTCCCGAACCTCGGAGCCCAGATGCTGAAAGGCTCACAGGCTGTGGCTGCCGGTTTCCGAGCCCCGGACCATCTCCTGCCTGCGCGGCATGGCCTCAACGCGGGCCTGCCAACGAGATACTCTCGGACGGCATGGTGCTACAAGTGCCGTTGTCGTTTGACTTTTCTCCCGCGAGAAGCATCCTGAAGCATCAACTTTGTAGCCGCTGCAAAATGCCGCAAAATTGACGGGCATCCTCAAGAAGCAAGGTTGCGAGCTAGCCGCTACTGTAGCCGACTTGATCTGAAAAGACACTGAACCACAAATATACGATTACCAGGTCACCACAAAGCCAAACAGCCTTTCGGATTAAATCGATGAGGTTGCGGTAGATCTGGTCTGCTGGGTGCTCCCATGTCGAGCTGCTTGCTCCTGTGACACACGTAAGCGAGACTGGCTGAAGCACGCACCGTGCGGCAAAGCGTGCACATTGGCAGCACTGCAATCTCCCTATCAATGTCAGGCGTATTTGGCATAGATCCATACTTTGTCGGCCGACGTTGCCTTCTTTCACATAGTACGCACGTCCCGACCTTGCGATCGATTGCGACCGGCGCACAGCGAAGTGATCTGCTAAAATCCGCTTGGACACTCCCTGTGTACACCCACCGTTACACTCACTGACACTGCTGTCATCCCCTGACAGCTCGTGACTGCACGTCAGCAGATTTTTTTGAAGGCCGTGTCCCGCAAACCTGCTCTCCACCCCAACTTGCGGAATAAGCTACAGTAGTGATATTTCCACATCGAAGAAAAGTTCGAACTGCTTCCAGGCAGCTCGTCCATGTACTCCGTCCAACTCGCTGGCAGCGGCGCGTTCCATGCCTCGCTAAAAAAACTCTGAGACTCTGAGAGCCACTTAGACTTAGAGCATTGGCATCTCAAAAGCTGAAAAGTCTCGCGGCCTCCTGGACTAGCTCCATGTAGTTCTCATTCTCCAAGTCGACGCCAAGACTTAAGCCGTACCTGCGCCGCCAAAAGAACTCACTCTCGAACTTTCATACTGCGCTTCTCAAGACCTCGATTGGAGACGGCAGAGAGACGCGACGTTCACATCATGCTGTTTGGGTACCAAAGCAGAACATCATGCATCCTGCACTTCGTGCGCACTCATGCAGGTCCCCGTACAGGATGCATTCAGACTCCAGCGCTGCGACGGTGCTTGCTGGGACCTTTGACAACGTTCCGGCGAGATTGATACACATTGAGCGAACAATAGAACACCGGCATGGACATGTACAACACTTCCGTTAAATTGGTCGCGGCCGAGGTGGAGAAAGCGGCGGCAGCTGCAGAGCCTCACTTCGGCAGTGATGATCATGGGCAGCATCTCGCAGTGGCTGCTACGCTAATTGAAGAGACTCTCTTGAGTGGAAGAGCGGTATCGAACCACATCGAACCGAGAAGTCAATGGCGCCCACCGTATGAAGTCAACTTATGCCTGTGTGATCGACGTTAAAAAGGCATCTACTCGCCTTGTGAACAAGGGAGTGTTAAACCATGCTGAAGCCGTTCGGAGGCGCTCCTGTGCTCGTATTAAGAATGACCAACACGGCCTTCTACAGTGCGGCCAATGCCCACGTCAAGCAGGTTCATGTGTGACATCAGCCCAGTCTCTCTCATGCAGCAAGCTACTTCTGCACGTAAGGTGGCAACCTGGAGAACCTCAGTTCTTGCAAAAGTGCCCTCCCGCTGCGCGATGCAAAGCTTGCAAGTGCTGCTGCCTGTACCGCCATCTTCCGCCATCCGAACCCACACTGACTCGCTGTCAGAATGTTCTGCGAAGTTGTGTCGGGAACCTGTGAATGAGTGAATGGCATGTAATTGCATGTCATTCACTACTGCATTTCCTTAATGATTAATGGTTCCTTAACGTAAGAAGAATGTGCTCAAGAGCGTTGCGGCTCCCTGGGTGGCATCATGTCTGGGAACTGGCTTGACTCAAAGTTCTGGGATTGTGAAACTGCAGCGGCACGGATGCAACACCGAAGCAGCTACCGTGACAAGCTGTGCATGTGGGACGGCGCCGAGAGGTGCAAAGCCTTTGTCACACATGTGTTCGCCTTGTCCGGTCATGTTGCTCAGCCTTTCCCTTACGACAGTAGCTCGCGGAGTAATCGTCTCCTCAAGTTGAAAAGCATAAACAATCCGGCAGGCTCCGGGACTCTGTGCTTCTCCAATTATTACACAATCACTTCATAGGTGCACACTGCATTTTTTGAGACTTCCAGACTCTAGAATCTAGACCAGTGGATTGATGTTTTGCCACCTGCCTTGGATGGATTGGGTCCCAGGCTTCTTGGGGGGATTGCGCTCCCTGCATTCGCCACTCAAAGGGCTGTCAGACAAGTCGGCTCAAATCGTAGTGAGGACCTGGCCAATCCCTCATCTACTGCGATGCCGAGTTGTGCAAGTGATGCTCGCCAACTTCGATCTATTCCCTCCGATGCCTCCTCGCCTTGGCCAGCTTCTCCGACGTTTCCGTCGGCACCGGAAGCCTGATTCCGTGCGCGTGCCAGGCCCTTGCAAAGTCTGAGCAGTTGCGACTCTCAAGTCAGCCTCCGGGGTGTCGCCCTCCGCACCCTCACCAACTGCCTCTTCAATGTCAGGGGCCCGAACCTTGGCCGCTGGACTTTGCAGACTCTCTCTAGTACAGCTCTAGCCCAGCATGGGAAGCTGGGACCCCGGAGACAAACAAAGACTAGCATCCTCGATGAAGGGCTTGTGGTGATTTGGCATTCCTCTGCCATAACCATGGCTGAAGCCTTGGGCCCCTTGTCTGTTCACGGGCGATATTGAACCAAGCAGGTAAGGTCCATAACCCGACCAGTCTTGACGAGCCGGGCAATGCTGTGCTCTGATGGACTAAGAAATGCGTGTCTTGGTCGACTGGGGTCTACTTGGAGGCTGTGGCTCCCGCACACTAAGCGATCGCTCTGAAGCACTATGTCTAAGGCCTAAGGCATGGCAGTGCTAAGTTTAGGATGGTCTTGGTCTGGCTCTCTAGGACAAAATATGCGTTGTGCCGGCAACGAGTTCATTGCTGGGGGTACTGCCCAAATGATCTGCTTTGTTGGTGGAGATCCCTGCCAGGATTTTTCAGCCAGACAGGAGGCAGCAACACCATGTACACATCCAAGCACCTGCGCCGGGTTCCACTCAACTCTGTCCACCTGAGGCGTATTCCAGCTTTCAGCTCTACTGGCTTGTGCAGTTCTCAAACCTGCTTGGCATGTCCTCTGAGCAACCATTTACACATCAGCGGCCTGCTCCTCCGGAGGAGGCAAAGCGCTGAAGTTCAGGTTGTGCCAGAATCTGCCAGCGTATAACCACGTCGGTCGAGGCATCAGGAGTGCGCACCAACATGCACATTTGCCTTCTTGCGTCCCAGCAAAGCTCGCCACCATAGACGCTCAACCTGCAGTTCTTGCATCGCTACTTAAGCAACAGCGCGGATTGAATGCTGAAGGCGGTTGCTTACATTGGGCCCCTGCCGATTTCGGAAGGTCCGTATGTTCTCGCCGCCAGAGACAGCACAGATACCACCCTGCATACGGAGTTGCAACTGTCGTCACCATACGATCGCACAAGCGCCTGCCTCCACGACATAGGTCACACCTGGATCTTCCTCGTCAATCCACCTCCCCTGGAAGGCTGCAGTGGTGAGTCACAGTCACTACTGCATCGCATACGACGTCACGGAGCCTGGACCCTGTCCAGCAGGTCTTTCTCAAAACGCAGCTGCGCCGAGCGCTGGGCCTGTCAGCAAGCTCTCGCCCAGATTTCACACAGCTCCGCTCTGCTCGCCTGACTGATGGCCGACTGATCCCGCTGCTTAGCTCGACGCCTTGCTGGAGAGAAGAATCAGAAGCAGTGCCATGAATCATCATGAATCCACCCTGTGTCATATTTCTTCGTGGACTACTGCACCAGACCTGGCGGCAAATGAAAGCTCGTGAAAGACCTGCCGTGATCATCCGAGTGCATTTGGATGGCGTTCTAGTTCCTGCTTATTGTTGCTTGTGGTGCGAAGGGTGGCCCTGGCCGCATCAAACTTGCGGTTTGAAAAGGGCTTTGGGAGTCCAATGGCCATCTCGCTGCGGCCCTCTTGACAGAAATTTCACGGAAACACGCACCTTGGTCTGAGGCACCGCATGCACTGAGCTCGAAGCTGCGCAAGCTCTATCTGACGACGCGGATCACCTCAGCTGGGCCCACTGCCGCCACCTCGCAAACACCATTCTGAGGCTGAAGCTCTCGTCCCAATCACGGGCCTCTGGCACAGCGGAGGTCCGAATCAGAAGCCAGTTGGGCCATTTGCAAAAGTTGCGCGGAGCCAGGCTGAGGAGGAAGCTCCTTTGTAGCCGTAGCCCTTTCCCTTGCCCTTTCCCCTGCCTGAGAGAGAGGGCGACACTGGGCGTGAGCATCCAAACCTCCTCTTCTCCTTGCCGCCTCGACCTCGGCCTTCACCTTTTCCTGTCAAAAAATGGCCGCCCACTCCACTCTCTCTCGTGGCGCCGTGCTGTCATGGCCTTTTCCAAAGTTCGGCGCCTCGGAGGTTCACAAATGCCAAAGTGGAAGTTCACTTCCACAGAAAGCCCCTGGCCCATGTGGAGCTGGCCTTCAGGGAATCACTGAGTGATGGCGCGACGAAAATCGAACTCCGAAGACTCCCTGTCTGTCGCTCCACTCCCCCACAAGTTCTCGGAAGAGAAGATTCACTTGGGCCCGTTGTGCCACCTCGCCCCTCTTCTTCGGCATCTCTCTGCTCCTGAATTTCATACACCTGGCCTGGGGGTACATCCCGCCATAAGCACCAAATCCGTCAGCATAGCCGCCGCCGTAGCCAGCGTATCCTCCACAATCTGACATGGACTATGTAGCTGATGTCCAACACAAGTAATGCACCGCAAGATTCGCAAGTGTGTGATTGGTCCTGGGAAGCGCCCCATCTGAGCCTGGCACCAGCAGCTGTCGACTGACTCCATCTGTACTTCATAAGTTGCCAACACTAATGACACTACCGATCAATACTCGGTCAGCGCCTGCATTGTGCCGGTCTGCGAGGGGCGCGCGGGAAAATTGGTTCCAGCCTGGCGATGAGAGTCCAGCTTTCTTTTTGGTCGATCAGCTCTGGCTCTAAGCTTTAGCATGCCAGTGCAAGACAGCCTGCCTCTGCACACCAAGCACCTGTGGACCTACACTTCGCGCGTTTCCCTTGCAGCGGAGCCGAACTGCCTGAGGTGGACACAAGCGGCAGTTGATGTGGCATCAATGCTGGATGCTTGGGTGCTTCCATGCTTTCAGAAACCAAGCCTATCATATCACATCCCAAAAGCAAGCCCCCAGCACGGCAACACGCGCCATATTTTTCCACGAGATTGAATTTGGCTTGCATTCTGAAGGACTGCGCTTGCAGCAGCTTCGAGGTCCCGCTTATGCATCCAGGAACCAGATCTCACCGTCTGCCCAGTGGATGCTCATGCGGCGGCCTGAGTCAGCCAATTGTCGGAAGGTAGGGTGCCGAAAGCAAGGGAACATGCATCCGGCGCCTACATAAACACTTCCTTCGTGGATCTCATTGGCCAGTCGGAGGTGCACCTCCAAGCCGCGGTGGAGGCCAATAGACTCAATTGCTCAGGAAGCCTTGCGGATTCATGTGGATTCCCAATGACACAAAATAGCGGTACGGATGCCAGGAACTATCAGGAAACCCATAGTCAAGTTTGTCCCCAACTTGCGTCATGGGCGGTGTGGGATCAGATTTACCGGTTTACGTGATCATATGCAACCTCGGAATGTCGGGCCTTGTTGGGCCCGGCCTCTTCCAGTGGACTCTGAGAGTCACCTCGGAAGGCTTCACCCCATCGTAGGCGGCCTCAGCTCACACACGAAGTCCGCCTGCACATGGAACGCAAAACGGCGAGAGGTTCGGGCCGTTCGTGAGCACGCCCATGAAGAAGCCATCCTTCGATCAACAGCCACTGGCCCAGACGGTTCCAAGAACGATGCACTCCCGTCTGGCCTGACGAACCCACTTACCTTGGAGCTGATCCTGACATCACAACTGCCATGAAACGGCATCTGACACAAAATCCAGATGCTGAACTACCAGTAGCCGCAAACAACCATCAGGCCGTCTCTGCCGTTCACTACGCAGCGCTTGATAGCTCTTCCAGCATTGCTTTTTTGCGGCTTTGGTTGGAAGCTTGTGCCAGGCCAGCTATTTTGATTACAGCTTACTCTGTGCTTCACACCTGAAGTATTCAGCCACTAGGCCTTCTTGATGACACAAGTCTGCAAGTCAGCATGATTGTAGCCCTAGGGCTTTCGTAAGTTTCAGGGCGAGGGCGGGCAGGGAAATGGTTGAAGATTTGGTGCACGATCTATTGGATTCCGTGTGCGATGGACACTTGTCGTCCTTGCGAGTCAACTACAGTAGTACGCAGCAGCTTTTGTCTGAGTGCCCATCCAAAAGCGTGCCAGTTGCCGTGGCCGCCCGGGCAACAACCAGATCCTCCTTGCAGAACATGTGGTCAACGGCGCCTACAGTGTCTACATGTGCCTGCAGCTTCTTTCCGTCCGTCCTCGCTGAACACTACGTCCTCGGTAGCCTGGGGAATTCTCCGCAGCACACAACTTTGAAGCAGTTCGCTGCTCCGCACACGACAGCAGCGTTGGTGAGCGCCGTGTGGCATAATATGACAGTAGCGACCAAAAACCTAGTACGGAAGTTTTTCTGCATCCCCCAATTCCCATGGTCGAGCAGGTATATGTACTCGAGATGCTTGTCCATGTTTGCCCGTTGGATGCTCTGGGCATCCGCATCGGTGAACAGTTCAGAAAGAGTTGTCCGTTGGAGCCCTTGACCGGGTTTGATTTTCAACACTCGGTGCGGCTTCTGCAATAATTGGCATATGCGCTATATTCATGTGGTACTGCTTTGTTTCCACACCGTGCCTGTGACAACCCCTCGCAGGGACTCCCGCGTTTAGAAACGACTCTTTCATTTTGATCTTCGAAAGCCTGAAGCTCGACACTGTCACACCCACATCTGTATGGGCACACATACGACGCAGACAAAACCCAGAATGGATCGGACGTTCCGAAGTTCCGGCGTCAACTATGTCATATTGTATTTTACTATTAGACACATTGTCTCCAACCTGTACTGTACATGATGGTACATGTCGGACAGTCTTCCCATCCCCACAAGGTGGAATTGCCAAATTCATCTTCGACATCACACTTCATCTTCTTGTCTGGGGATTTGACACTTCTAGCAATTCATCGCCCAGGCAATGCAAGTCTTTGTCCGTGAGGCTCCGCAAAAAAGCCAACGCGGTGTCCCGGGGTTTTGTGAACAGCACGGACAATCCTGGCGAACAATGCTCAATACAGCAGGCCGAAATCTGGCCACAAGGGAAGGCTTGACGGGGCTCCGCGCTTGGTCACTTGGTGGCATTCCCCAGCGCATACAGAAGTGACAAACACGAAGGTGTAACAAAGGCACATGAGGTCAAGACCCCCCAGGTCCAAGTTGTCCATGGTTTGTGCACGGAGTCACCTGGACACTCTCGCATCGTCTATCGATCTGAGTGACCTGAAGGCATTACATGAATGTCCTGCCTGTGTCAGAACATCGGCTGCAAACAACGGTACCCATTTGCCAGCACTACATTTGTTCCGAATAAGTCATAGCCATCCAAATGCATTTCAGCTTAGCATCCTCAAAGCTGCAACCTAAACCGCATCGATGAATCGAAAAGGCAAGGTCACATTACAAGCACTGCCTTTTGGACCGGCCGCGCGATTTCAACAAACATGACAGGACTGTGAAAGCGCAGTCGAAAACTGGAGTGGGTTGCCAAGGTGCCGTTTTCCAAACTTCGCAGGAATCGTGGGACTGCTTTGCGCGACTTCGAGGTGACTTCTGCACGTCGGGTGAAACAAACGACCGCGGAAATCTCATCGCTTCATCCCTCGCAACTCACAGTAGGGCACACCAAGTGGAGCCGGACTTCCTGACGTGACAGGAACCACACCGACGGACATACGACATCGCACGACCTCTGAACAGCTGAGACGGCTGGCGACATTTTGGTCCAGCTTGCCGGGATGCCGACAGACGCCTCACAATGGCGAGCAGGGGTGCAAAATGCAAAAATGCCGAGTCTTGGCTCACCCCTTTGACACGAGCGGCCTGGCCAGGCTCACGAAAGTACCTGCAAGACTGGTTGGGCTCAGATAAAGTCCCAGTCAATCAAGAGCTCAGCAACTTACCCACACAGCGGTCGAGCAACTGCCACTAGAATCACTAGAATTTTGCATGCCGTTGATGTCTGCCTCAGCCTATGCAAGCAAAGCCAAGTATGGACAGAGCAAGACAGGAGCTGACTATTCACAAAGTTCCTTGCGGCTCGATGATACTGTAGCATGACTCGCACATGTCTGCATGCAAATCTTGCGGAAGTTGCGTTCAGAGCTATCCAAAAATGAAAGACATCACACCTGCGGCTAAGGCACGCCCTTGTCATCAGCGCCAGGATTTGCTGGAGCTGCGTTGCAGACGGCGCGGTCCCCCATCTGAGAACAAGTCACACGATACGAATCGGCTCACAAACGCTCCGATTCTCCGTTCCAAGTCGGCTGTTGCCGTGCACCCCGGTGGACTGAAGGCTGAAAGACAGCTTCGCCGGCAACCCCATTGGCATCGGCATCGGCATGGCTGCAGAGATTTAGGATGCAGTGCATCTATAGCAGTATCACGCAGCTCGCTTTGCAAGACCACACACATATGCAGTCAACACAACGGTCGACAGAGTCGGGGTCACTGAGCGCATTACGAGAGGACTTGCCCCAGTCCGCTCAAAACGCCAATTGTGGGTTGGTCTCCACTTGTCGACCTCAGACACACATGCCAAGGACCGCATCAGCTTCCAGACTCGAGGCAGCATGCTCGTCCGTAATTGGATTTGGCGGGAGCTGGAATAGCGCTATGTGTTGCGATGCAAAACCACATGCCAAGGACGTAACTAGAGTGAACACGGGGGGATGCTGTCCAGTCGCCACTTCAAAGCGAGCCGACAAGAGAGCTACGACAAAAACTAGGCAAAACCTGACCATCCAACTTCATTACTCATGATCTCGCTCCGACAATGCTGCATAAGAAACGATGTTGATGAGTAATGACAAGTATACGATGGGCTGAAGGACTCTCAGTTCTCTCTGCCTGCATCGGGTTGACTTGCACTCACCAAGAAGAGGATCCGAATACCCTTCGTGGCCATGCAGGATCAGCTCTTCCTGAAAGATTCGGGGCATCACCTATTGAAATTCAATATGGAGCATGGCCTCTCGTCAACAAGATATTGCCGATTCTTTGCGCTGTGTGGAGGCAGGCCTTCTTGCAAACGACACTTAGCCCTCCCTTCAAGTTTCAGCAACACATCGTCCTGTGGAGCACTTCATCTCCAGTCTTAGTCTTTCGATTTTTCCAGCAGCCCTCCATCATTTCTTCCGGTGACAAGTTGGAACGGGGATTGCGTCTTCTGTGCACCGTTGCTACGGGCGCACCTTTTCAAGGGTGCTTCGATGGTCTGCAATTAGCTTGTTATAAATTATAAAGGCCACGCTCACGAGCTCCACTAATTAGGCTCGCTGCAGTGACCGCAGCATGACTTTATCAAACAAGTCCGCCTCCGCCTGCCATCGACTTGAGGCCGTGACGAGTACAAGAGCTTCCGGCGCAGTGATCATATTCTCATGTATTCCCGCCTTCGGCTCTGCACGCGTCAGGACTACCTGGCCGCATGACATGACCACTGACATTCGGACACGCCGAGATAACAAGAAAAAGGCCGATGACGGTTCAAGGAAAGACATCAAAAGACAAGCGCCAAAACCGAAAGGGACAGCCGGCCACACCAGGACGTTCCCGCGGGTCTGTCTGTAAGCGCATCCCAACACCTAACTGCAACGAAGAAAGGTGGATGCGCGCAAGTTGATCGAAACCCGCAATCCATCTTCTGAGATGCAGCATCGTGGTAGAAGCCGTTGCGGTCTGTGAGCAAAGCGCGGCCTTCATATCGCACACAAAAGCTTGGGAGATGGGGTAGAAACTTCACAGCCATAAACTGCGACTGTGGGCCTTCGTTGCGATGGACCACCACCACGAAGTCCGGCCTTCAGCAGCTACAGAGTCAGCATCATTCCTGATGGGGCCGCCCTTTCGGACAGAAACGTTGCGGCTCCGGGTGTGCGGCTTTCCTGGGAGAGATGCAAATCCACGCAGTTCTGCCTTCTGCAGCAGTCGTTCCTGAACCTTGACTCCGAAGCATGTCACATCAGCTCTGCCTTGAGAGAACTGCAACATCTACGCTTTAGTTTACTTAGCTACAAGTGTCTGCGACATGACGGTTATCTGAATTATCTGCTCCATTGAATTAGCAGATGCCGAAGACATATGCGCAGGCTCTTACTGGGAAATATATCTGCCACTTGGTTACGGCTACAGTCTAATTAGTCTAGTCCTTGCAACGGTTCTTCGTTCGTTTCCATGTGCGACCGGCCCCAAGCCATCTGTCAGCATGCTTCGCTATTGCAAAGGTACTTGCGGCATCCAACGCGGAGGGGAGCGATGATCGAATCGCGGTGGTGCGAGGGAGACAAACTTAAATTTACGAAAGGAGTCGCCAAGGGATTGACTAACTATGTCTGCCTGGTCTCATCAGCCATCAGTCTGTCCCGAATTTCTGGCCGGGCGTGTTGCAACAAGCGCCCACTTCTCGCAACTCCGAGATCCTCACGCTACTGTAAGGAAAGATGTCCGCGAGCACAGGACCTTAGAAAGGTGTGTCCAGGTTCGGGTCAAATATGGTCAAATCGATCCAACATAATAACCAAACATGCCGAGCACTGCGCTCACATCATTGATCTCTTGCAGCTTCAAGCTGCAGACCTGCGGCACAGCACAAGTGAAAAGCAAAGGGGCATCACGGCAGTGCAGCTAGAAACAACATCTCTCTCTGCACCGGCTTCTCTCCGTCCACTGTTGGGACTTGCTTGAAGGCTTGATGTGAGCAGCTGTCACAAGAGCAGAAACAGGGCAGAGTTACCAGGACTTCCAGCTTTTCGGCCCTGCAGCATCGCTGAGTTACTTGGCGTCTCACTTTGCACGATCTCCGTTTGGCGCCTCTTCTCAACAGTATCCTTTCGCAGGAAGAACAAGCCATCGCTCCTGTCCCCACTGGCCCAATGCACGGTGACGCGCATCACCAGTTTTTGCCGTCCTGAAGCCCAGGGCCTGGTCGCATTCACGGCAGACCACACGGCCGGCAGCCTCAGGGAAGGTCTCTGGCTGTGCCAACTTGGCCCCTTCGACTTCGACTGCCTCTCCGCCGCCCGGCTGCAAGCTCCGAAACCTTCAACGAGACGGTACAGGTAGGCAGCTGACGATATGTGATATGTGGCATGAAGAAATCGAAGCTTCAGCTCGCAAACTCTCACCTGAGCTCCTTGCACGAAGGAATCATCCCTGGCCTCCACGAAGCCGTCCGACCTCTGCCACTGCGCTAGGAGTGGCAGTGAGTAGAGCTGACTACAAAAAAGCAACTCCTTGGCAACCTCTGGTACTGCATCATCTTAAGGCGGTGACGAGGCAATGCATGTCCCGCAGATACTGCACCTGCAAGCTGAAACCCTGCTTCATTGTTGCATAGGCCTGCATTCTGCCAAGCCCAAGCAAGCAATTTCTTCTAGCGACCTGAAGCGCAGCGGCATCTCCTGCAAACCGCAACATCCGTATGCTATGCTCATCTTGCCAGGTCAATACGAGGCTCCTTCGGGGCGCGCTTGGTCCTGCATCACGGCTGGGATCAACTACGTCGGGCTGACAGCCAATGCAGTTCTGGGTCTCAAGCCTAGGACTCCTTTCCGCATCCGAAACAGGCACATCCTTAGATGCGACAGCGACACCCAGGCGCTAGCTGTCTTCTACAATACCGCAAGGTTGGCCGAGTCACTCCCTGCACCTGTCGGCTAATGCCTGCGCAGCAGTGTCTTGTTCTCAGGCATTGTTAAACGTTGCAGCAGCACAGGCCTGTGCCGGCACCGAGTCCCTCATCGGGTGCCACCCTGCGCAAACAACGTGAAGAGTCTGTGGGAGGTCTTCCCACACGGCATGGAAAGCACTGGGATGCAGACAAATCAAAGCTTCCGCTGCTGGGCCCCGGATTCGGCAAAGGCCAGGGATCGGCCGGCATAGACGAACCACCTGCGGTTTACAGTAACCGAGTAACCCCCCTCCGTTCGACGTGAGAAGCTGCCGGCCTCATGCGCCGTGCAGCCCAGCCTACCGTCAGCATCATGTGCTGCTCTGAGACATGCGCCACAAGACCGAAGGCCCAGCCTTGCCGAACTTGCGGAATCGCGAGCAAACGCGTTTCCGAAGCAAGCGCCCAAATGGCATGGCCGGAAAATGGCCAGGCTACAAAGCTAAAGCGTGCAGACTAGCTTCGAACAATAAGCTCTGGCATTTTTTGCGAACACTTGGCATGACTTGGTCCGCTTGTTGCGACCAGCGCTTGTCCTCCCGGGTTTGCAAGGGCGCAGGCCTATGATTGCACAGGGCCTTGAGCGAGAGCCACACTGGGCTCAGGATCAGTGATGCTTCATCGGGCGTGTGCAGGTTGATCCCCGACGCAACTGCACCGCACGTAAGCTTCTTCTGTCGTGGTGATTCCGCCTTGCCATGATTTTTCGAGGCGCGCGATATCACGCGTCTCAAGCTATGGCGCCATATCAGGCCAAATTCGCCTGACCGCATATCTGTACAGCTGGTCATGGCAGAATAGTTAGAGCATGCAGTATGTTACAAGATGCTCTGACACTTGTTCAGGATCTATCTGAAGCGAAGGCTGCCTGTGCTGACTTGGTCAGCAATCATGTAAGCTGAGGTGGGTCACCTGAGCCGCTGAAACTCGAAAACAGCATGCTGCAGACTAGCACGGTCCGAGAAAGGCACTCCTCAGGCTCCGACTCTGCATAGAGCCGGTGGACGCAGGTCTTGGGCTTTGCCTCTCGTCTTCCGTTTGCACGCAGCTTGGAGAGGACATCTCTACCGTGCTTCCATGTGGGGAAGTTATCGCAGGCGTCACACTTCTCCCAGAAGGTCACTGGACTTTCGCCAAAGCGCCTCCGCCGGCGGGGCCGCGCCGCTGCTTCGGCAGCAGCTACAGCCATGGCCTCGAGAAAGCGTGGCGATCTGCCAAGAGGCATTGCCTTGGTCCCTCTATTGCTAGGCCCGCAACTGCAGACAGCTCAGCAGCCTTCCGCAGGGATGGCCGTGGCCGTTCATGCGTTTGATTAACGTGCAACGGTCAAACCCCTCCTCACGGTTGGCACGCTCGACCACCTCAGGGAGTCAGGGAGGTCTGATAGTTCTGTCATGTCGCAATTTACGCATAGAGAAGAATCAACACGAGGGGAAGGAAGCAGAGAGCGCACAAAAGGATAAGACGTCTTCTCCTTACCGAAGGAGGTCCGCCTCAGGCGGCCGATGCTTCCGGTTCAACAGGAAGTGCAGCGCCTCATTCGCACCCGAGAGATCACATTGGCAGTCGACACATGTCATAATCAGCGCCGTGAGTTTGTAGATGCCGCTTCTTCGGCTCTCCCAGCCGCGCCTTGGGATCCTTGTGGATGCCACTCATTTCCTCACGGCAACACACATGGCAAATCATGGCAAGTTGAACAGCCTCACGCATCTTTCAAACTAAGCACGACTCTAACGTGGCATTGGCGTCGAGCGGGCGCATCTGGGAGCAGACACGAACCAAACCAAACCCGTCATGCCCATCATGATCTTTCCACTTGCCAGCTTCATGCTAAAACTGCTGCTACCATGCCATACCAGCATCATTCTGGCAACAAGCGCGTGCGATGCCGTCTGCAGGAAAGGTTGGAAGTCAAGATGGGTGAGAACAGTGTCGGCACGATCTCTTCTGTGCACGTTGAGATGCTTGCGAGATGTGTGGCGGCAATGTATAGTAATATCGTCCGATCGCACCAGCGATACATGACGTGCACACATGGACACACACACACAGACACCTCTAGAGGTGTCTACTCCTCTTATGCAACTGATGAAGTCACTCCATGTCACTCCGAAGCTGACAGCAACAGTACAATCGTTCTAAGCTGTTGCTGCTGCTGCTGCTGCTGCTGCTGCTGGGATCTGCTGGGTTCACAGACTGACTAATACGTTAAGTTGTGTCAATGCAGTCTTCATTTCCGTTGGGACTCTCGCACTTTTGGCAGTCGATCTCCCGATCTCCAGTCTTGTGGCATCTCAACTTTGCCGCCAAGCAACGCGGAATAGTAGGCGGCCCTTCTCGCCGCAGCCCACCGCTTCACGGACGTGCCGCAGCAAGACCTGACAGTTCAACGCTGGGGACCACAGCCAGCGCACAAGACAATCACATTTCGATGTCGCCTCACAGGTCGTGGAGGTGGAGACTTGAAGCTCCAGCAAGTTACCGGTATCGGCCTGGCTTCGATTGCGACGCTCCACTCGCTTCACTAGCTTGCGCAGCTTGCAATGTTTTGCCAGCTCCGCCTGGGTGCCATCGTGTGCGAAGTAGAGAACCCTGCCATCGCTAGGACAGAGCCAGCATGGGTGCTAGGCCAGTACGCATCTGATGGACGAGGTGAAACCATCGTTGACTGAATGCTTGTACAGCCCGGCGCCTGATGCACACGGACAGAGGTAAACTTGGACTTGGCCTGAGGAGACGCCACGAAGAAGGAGCTGGCAAGCACGGCACTACTTAATTTCAGAAGCTGCGACACAATAGTGCAGCAACTGCGATTGCTTGTTGCATGGAATGATACCCGCACAAACGGACAACTAATTCAGCGCCTGTCTTAGGATGTATTAAGGACTAGGTCAGTTGATGACGGTTTGGAGCTGTGCAAATAAATTTGGCGAGGCTTGCGGCCAGTGTGCCGAAAGGCGCTTTCTGACGGCGTGTCTCAGGCAGGAGGGGAAGCGGGCACGAGCTGACGACCGCAAACTCGTGGTCGTCTAAGTCGAGCCTAGTAACACTAGCGGTCACTAGCGGGGCACGACTCCTGCATGCCAGAGTTCGGCTCCAGTTCACAGAAGATTGTTCTAGTCAAGTTTTGCCGCTTCCTAGCAAAAGAGACAACATGCCGTCAGCAAAATCCCTGAGTTCGCTATATTTCCGGCCAGCTTCTCAAGAGGTTCTCTCATCAATTCGTGGGTGGCACATGTCCAACCCATCCTAGGCAGCGTCCTGTGCCTATGCCCCATGCTACCCCATGTTGCGCTGCACTTCAATGAGGCCAGGGCTGCAAAGATCGCTGCATGGGCCTGGCGATGCTTCGCTACTTCAGACTCGGCCCAATCTTGAAGAGGCTACGAGGACCAGGCAGCTTGGGCAAGCTGCCATCACGCAGCACCTGTCGGAACGCATGGCTTCTGTGCACTCTTCTCCTAGAATCTCCTAGACTCGACAGCTTCGAGACAACTAGACTGGCTTAAGCTGTGGGCCCAGTTTCGGTGTTGGGCCACATAATTCGAGTCAGTTCATGTGGGCAGAACGCGGCCTGCTCGCCATTGGCAACTGACAAAGTCGGACAAAGAATTCGTCGGCGGTGCGGCCTGTCAAAGACTGACCGAGAAAATGCTTAACGCCGAGAATTTTTGCAACTCTCACAACATACCCCCCCCCCCCGGGTTCCTCTTTGATCTCGGTACCCTCCACTCCGAGCAATCGCCTGACATGTTCGTCCGGTCTTCCAGACTTCATCCACTAGGGAGCAGCAGATGCGTCGGAAGTCTCGAACTACAACCTGCGTGCCTTCCATAGCTTCAACTTCTAAAGTCTAAAGTCTGACCTACTGCACTAGACTCACACTGGGAGAGGGGCTTTGCCCGTTAAAACCCTGAGCCTTGTGAGCCAGGGCGGGCTAGAAGCCCTGATGCGGCGCGAGCATGTTGTTTCGGTACATCAATGTGTCTGCCGAGCTACGGAAACTTATTGAGTTCGCGAGGTCAGCAATGCGGAACAGGTACCAAACGGAACCAACGCCACCTGGGCCACAGCCACGACAGCGTCTGAACCCGTAGCGACTCAGGAACTGACCAGACCGCACTGGCAGAGGTAAATGCGAGATGCAAGCAGATCACAACTAAACTACCTAAAGACGAAAAAACTTATACCCCGGCTCGCCCACAAGAGAGACAGGTTGTGCTGGGCACACTCGCTCCATTTTCGCGTGAGTTGAGCAACTGAGTATGACAGCAGCGTGTCTAGCAGCGCATAGCGGTGGCAGGTCTGTCTCAGCAGGCTGTGTGCGTCAGGTGGGTTCCTGCATGCCGTGGGGCCGTGGAATGATCATCACCCATCCATGAAAATGTCATGGAAGTTCAGCAGAAGGAGCTTCCTTGCGAAGATCTGCGAAGGCTGCATATGCTAGTCGAACACCGCGATCCACCCCAAAGCTGTAGAGCTCCGACACTGCGCCGACGCTTTCCTGAGAGCCCTTGCGCTTCACCTCGTGCAGGACCTGCAGTATCTGCAAGGTGCCACCATCGGGCTTTATACAAAAAGCCGAGGTATTGCTATGCCGGTTTACGGGCAAGCATGTAGACCTGCAATGGCCAATCGGATGCACCGCCCATGATTGCATCCTCGGTCCAGTAAGGCGCTGTGAGGCCTAACAGGTAGCCGGCGAGCTCTCGCAAAGTGCCCGGCGCCCAAATCTCTACGATCTCAAAGCCGGCCTCCTGGACGGCAGCAACGGCAGCAGCACCACCATCAACAACAATGACGACGACGACTGCGTTGAGGACGAAAATTGCAAAGGCGACTACAATAAGAAAAAGAAAAAAGGCAGCAGCGGCAGCAACAGAAGCTTCACAGACCCAGCAGCAATACCAATGCAGTCAAGGGGAAATAAGGGGAATGTACGGATAAGCCTGGAATTTGGGGCTTCCGGATGCCTCCGCCAAGGTCTTGGCTCCCTCGGGCGTGAAGCGCCAGAAGTCCTGAGGAGATCCGTGAATCTGGCTGAAGAGTGGAGCGGACCATGCAAGCAGCCCACCTCGGCGAAGCGCGCATGCAACCGTAATTTTTGATGCACTGTTAACATTGTTAACCCGTCGCACATCCTGCCTGGGCCCAACAGTCGGTAAAGCTGACGCATCGCAAGCCACGGCTTGAGCAAATGCTCAAAG